AAACATTTCAAGTCTGCGATTGTCTTAACGGTTCCGGTGATGAAGACTTTGAAGTCTTGTGAACCCGAAGGCATTGTCTTCACGCAGACATTGATGAAGCGTTTGTCAGGCATTTGGGTATAATTTGGTAAATCTTTAAGAGATTTACATATATTTATTAACTTATGGTAATTAAATTAAATAGCGATCTAATAAAGACTTAATTAATACAACCAAAAGCTACCAGTGCTGTCAATCGACTGACTAGTTGTACACAAATGGACACTGGGTATATGACTAAACACTTTTGTAACAAAGGACTAATCACTATACTTCACCTTATAAACTAGTTTATGAATATTGGATTTGAAAAATTATAAATTAATTTGTTAAGTCACTAGTTTTGACTCATTATAAATTATTAATCATTAATCAATTGTAAAAGTTAAATGTGGGCAAAATATACTGATCAATAGTTTATTAATTTTCACTTTTCCATTCAAACCTGAGTTATTTTCCTTGATAAATAAATATAAATGAATAGTGGAGATTTTATTTGGTAAACTCCATGAGCCTATGAATTGAGTTTTGTATTTGAATATTAAATAAAATATTAATAAATTAAAAATAACTACGAATTAACAAACAATAATTAGATGAATAGTGCAAAAATATTATTTTAAAATGATTTTAGCATTGGTGTTTTAAATAAATAATAATTATAAAACATATTTTATATGAATAAATAATAGCAAGACTACGGTATTGATACAAATTAAGGGAATTTAAACAATTATTATTTGATTTATTTGAATACATAGTGAAAACTATTAAAACATGTAGAAATTAACAATCATTATAAAATTAAGCAGTTTATAAAACAAATTCAGATATCATTTTTAAATGATTTCAGATTTCATTAAACATTTTATCTATATTTTAAAAGGAAAGTAGTCTTCGCTGTATTTTGTGACCCCTTCCCACCATAAGTACAATAGGTTTTTGGACATCTGTTTTATGTGATTAAAACATATCAAATCACATTTAATTCAAAACCACTTAAAACATGAGAAGATACTGAATCTCGTCATCCATTTCTCGGTCTCTCTTATCCTTAATATTCTTCCAGTTCTTCAAAGCCGACAACTCTTCCGACAAATCATTACTTTCTTTTGACAATTGTCTCGAGTTTTGGTCCAAAATATTATGCAAACTATGCAATAGTTATACAAATAATTATTTCAACGTTACATCAAATCTATACACTTATGAAACAAACCTCGACTTCAAAGCAACCAATTCTTGCCTCAATTCATGGTTTTCTTGACACAATTCTTGCGACTTTTGATCCAAATCCTTATGAAAACTATGAAAATTAGATACAATTAATGTAATGATTATTACAAAATAACCTTGGTTAATTGTGAATAGCGAGACAAACCCAGACTTGAAGGCAGACAACTCATCCCAGAACTCCCTTTCCATCGCATGTTTCGATGCCTTCAAAGTCAACAATTTTTCTCTCAATTCATTGCTTTCTTTCGACAATTGTTTTGAGTTTTGGTCCAAAATATTATGCAAACTATTTATAGATAAATATTTATTATAATGTTATAATTATTAGCAATAAAAAAATAATTAAATAAACCTCGACTTCAAAGCATTCAACTCTTCCCTTAACTCCCTTTCCATTGCGCTTTTGGATTCATTCAAAGTTTTCAACTTTTCTTTCATTTCATTATTTTCTGTCAACAATTCACTCGACTTTGGGTCCAAATCTGTTTGAAATCTATAAATAAAACACAAAAATATATTAAAATAATATCTATAATAAAGTTATTATTATAATCATTACCCGTCTTGCAATGGATAGGGAACCAAATCTTCATCCGATTTGGTGGTAATCTCTAAGACATCTCTCTGTCCGAGTCGTGTCAACAGGAAGTCATCACTAATGGGTTCCGAATACCTGTCATCCAAGTCCTCAGCAAATCTCGTGACCACCAATTCATCGGTTTTCTCATCGAAGTAGTCATTACGGATGAGATCACACTTTAAGGTCTTCACCGAAACGCCGTGTAATGACTTTTGGTTACACCGACAGCAATAGATATATGATTGCGACTTATCCCGGATAACCACGAAATAGTTGCTGGATATCAAGTAATTGGGTTTGTCGTGTTTGTAGATGAAATCAATTTTAGGTAATCGTGAATAAGACATGATTATTATACACAATTAAAAATATAAAATACGATATTCAGTGTATGCTATCAAATGAAATATAATATACAATAAATGTTTTTAGATAATCCCTAAAACTGCTACAGTAATAATTTTTAAAAACTTAACTTTTAATCCATTTAAAACGTTTAAAACATCTCAAATACAAATCAAAAATTACTAATTGATAAATTTGATAATTCACTTACAAATAAAAATACCATTTAATATTTTAAAAGCTATCAAAATACTAATCTACAATTTTATCATGTTTTATCATTTTCCATATATTTATACAAATGTTTTGGTGTATTCATATTGAATGAATAGAAAAATAAGTAATTTTCCAGAAATAAATATAACTCAAGTTTTAAAATAATTTTCAATTTAATAAATACGAAAAATTAATTAATGATCACAAATTATAAGCAATTTAATGTCGTAAACATAAAACTATTTATTCATAAACCACTGATTGATCCGTTCATACCATTCAACATATTTATAGTTATTTTCATATGATTTCGGATTTCAGTGAACATTTCGATCACATTTATGTCCACCGATTGTTCGCCAGAAGTACCTATCAATGGATCCGGTGATCCATTTCCACACAAAGAATGTGTCACTGAATTGTGTGATCCATTTCCACCAGAACTATAGTCAGTCACTAAACATCTATTTTTATACAATACTTATAATTCACACAAATATTAATTCATACAAAACTCATCCAAACCTTGACTTCATTTCATTCAACTCTTCCCTCAATTCACAGAAATCTGTTTCAATCGTCTCTTTTGATGCCTTCAAAGCCATCATCTCTTCCCTCAGCTCTTTGTCATACCTTTCCCTCAAACCCTTCCAGTCCTTCAAAGCCATCACTTCATCCCTCAATGCATTCACTTCCGTCTTAATCGTGTCTTTGGATGCCTTCAGAGCCGATAACTCTTCCCTCAAATCATTATCTTTTGACAATTCCGTCAACTTTTCCATCAAATCATTAGTAAAACTAAAAAACAGATAAAAAAATTACAATAAAAATAAAAACAATTTCTGATCAATACTTGTCTTGCGATGAATACCGGATCTCATCATCAGCTTTGGTGACAATATCGATGACATCCCGGGGCTTCAGTCGTGTCAGCTCTACCTCATCGCCAATGGCTTCCGCATAGCTGTCAGCCATGTCTGTGTCGTATCGTCTGATTAGCAACTGATCCCATTCCTCGTCGAAGTAGTCATTTGTGATGAGATCCCACTTCAGGTCACCGATGGTTAGCCCTTTGAATGACTTTTTGTCACTGCGCTCGCAATATATGAATTGACCATGCTTGCCCTTTATAATCACAAACTTATTATGATTTGGTTTACTATCTTGGTATATAAAATCACAATACACTGAATTAGACATGATTTTATACACAGCTATTTTTTAGTAGTACAGTATAAAATATAATATTTAGACTATAAAATTAGTAAAGTTTTCTGTAAATAGTTGACAGATTATTCAAAACTAATTGATGTCTGTTTGAAAATAAGACTAATGAATGGTCAGTGAATTTCCTAAATGTGTGAGTAATTTACATTTTTTTGAATTATATATTTGCTTAACTTCTCAATGTTTTTATATACAATAATTGATTATACATTTATTTATTCACGAATTTTCTTAAATTAAACTTTGAGTTATAGTTAATTTACAATTTTAATAAAACTTTTACTAATAGTTGTGAAGTAAATAAATTAAATGTTAAAACAAAAGTATTTTTATGCATTTGTGTGTAACTTATGGTTTCCAATTGAGATAAAAGGTACTATAATAAAGATAACATGAGCTTTGAACAACCAGGGTAACGTTAGCTATTTTATATTTATTATATCTAATTATTAATTTTATTCAAAAGTCAATTATTCATAAAATATTCATAGGATTAAGGTAAACGAGTAGTATTATAACTTATCAGGTTAAAACTAGGAGATTCAGTTCAGTCTTAACACTGCATGACCTTGCTTGGAGCAGGGTGGTTCACTCAGTATATAACAAATAATAAATATGAAACTTTAAATTTAAACATGTATATTATATAATGTAAAAAGTATTGGTAGGTCAGTTAGCATTACCCAGGACACACCAGCGTGGAGGTTGACCATATTGTGCCCCACCCTTTTGTTTTACATGATGTTACATGACCAGGTTAAACCCCCTCCCCACCCACTAAAGATTTGTGAACGACCTTTTTCAAGCAAGGTCATGCAGTGTTAAGACTGAACTGAATCTCCTAGGGTTAAAATATCACTGGATTTTAAAGTATTGATAAAAATAGCTAACATTACTCTGGTTGTTTAAAGCTCACATATAAAAGTTTGTAATTACTTTGTTATACCAATATTAATTTAGGCTATTTAAAATCTCCAATGAAAGCATATTAGTTAAATTTTAAAGTTTAAAAGTATTTATAATAAACCTTAAAATTACATGAAACATATAAGCTAATATATATTTTAAAATAATATTAAACACGTTGTGGTATAATTTAATTTGAATATTGAGTTTTTATGATTTCTAAGTTATTATCACAAAAGTTATTTCGATGACAACAGCTTTGATATCACAATAAATTAGGACTTCATTTTGAGTTTTATTGAAAATTCCTAACAATACCTTGTTTAAATTTATAGTAATTTTAGTTATTATAACAATTTCCGTAATAAAATAAAATTTAATTCAATTATATTTTTGTTATAATTGATTATATAATTTGTGTGAAAATGTGTGCTCTTTTAGACAAGTTTCGCATTTGCGATATAATTGACGCAAACATGAAAACTGAAATCAAATTATTTCATGTATTCAGTGATTGGGATAATAAGCGAAATATACTATTTGTCACAAACAATGACACTGTTTATGGGATGGGAGCTAATAGTGAGGGAACACTGGGTTTGGGTCACAATAAACCCGTCAAAACACCGCAACGTATACCTGAATTGTGTGGACAAGGGATCCAACAGTTTATTAATGGCTTTAACTTTGTGTTGGCTATGAATGATGATAAACATGTGTTCAGTTGGGGACACAATGACCGGGGACAATTGGGTAGAGGTGTCACCAAATTTGGTGTTTATTTAAAGCCGGAAAACATACCATATTTAAATAACAAGTATATCATAAAAATATGTTGTGGTAGTCGACACTCCCTGGCCCTGGCCACAGGTGGACTGGTTTACGGATGGGGCGATAATAATATGGGCCAGGTCGGTCATATTGATAGTAGTGTTAAAGAAATTGGTTCCGTAGTATTATTATTAACAAATAAACTTAATCATAGTCGGAATGAGACAAGTAAGAATTTATAAATTTCAAATAACTTGAAATATAACAAGGTATTATGGCGGTTATGAAATTTCACTAATTTTAATTTTTATATCCTATGAAATGATTACAGTAGCACTAATTAAAATATTCACATTTGCGCTGTTAATGGTAATAAAATTGAGAAAATAAGCTATCGACACTTAACCATTATAATTATTTAGTTTATTTAAAAATTTAAACAGTAGTTTTCCAGTTGTATAGCTGAGAAATTAATGTGAAAGTTGATCAGGAAAAATGCTTTAATTTTAATCTTTTAATATTGCTTTCAAACTTTCCATAAAAGTAATATTTGGTGAAAACTATTTGCTTATATTTTGGAGAAGCTCTCCAGAAGCCCTCCCTTAGGGGTAATGTTGAGGTTATAGCACATGTAGATGTAAAGCAAAATTCTTGCATTGATTTTGTATTAATATTAATAAGTTACGATTTTTATATTAAAGTTTACAGCTATGCTTTGTCATCTACCAAAAGACAATATAAGCTCTAGTCCATGGAGAACCAACACAGTCTTAACACTGCATGACCTTTGCTTGGAAGGACAGTATATATACATAAAATAGACTGTATACTGTATAGACAGTGTATATTTTATGTATATATACTGTCCCTCCAAGCAAAGGTCATGCAGTGTTAAGACTGTGTTGGTTCTCCATGCTCTAGTCACTAGACTCAGTCTATTGTAATAATTTTTGAGATATTTTAAGAAATCAAAATAATCACATCGTTACTTGATATAGGGCCACACGGATAACTTGTCCTATGTTAAACATTAAATGTATTTTAGCTATAAAACTGACCTCTGCCATCTACGACTTTGAAAATCAGTAAAATTACACTACATCAATGTAAAACACAAATGTCATACATACAATGTAAAATTCCTATAGATAAGAAAATTAATAATCTATTGTAGTGATCTAATAAAAGCGTTTTTTAATCCTTTAATTTTCTAATTAAAGTTGCAAATGGTATGACTGGTTTACGGAACCGACTCCAACATTACAAGACCTTAACCAAAACATTTATAATTAAAAATATTTACTGTTTTCGCTATAATTCATTCGCCATTACTGACGATGGTTTCGTATTGAGTTGGGGTAATAATAGTTACTGTCAAACTGGACTTAGTGCCCCCGATAAAATTTTATCACCCAATTTAATTCCTAATTTGAATCAAATCAAATCACTCAGTGTAACATATTCTGGAAACATTTATTTTACATTTTTTCTATCAGATATTAATGGATTATATATTTGTGGCAAGTATTCTAACCAGGTAGATATTTCTACAGTTGTAATACAAGCGACGCCGAGACAAATGCAAATAAGTTTAGAATTAAATGTACAACAATTAAATGAATATAATTCATATTATCAATGTGCTCGAACATTAATATTAAATAGTAGAGTTTCTGAAATTGAATCGCTACATGCAATTAAACCATTTGTATATAAAAATTTTGTTGATTATTATGCGAATGAAAGTCAAATTACATATAACACCATAAATATAAACCAAAGCAGTGTTAATGACTCAGATGAGACTAATTCACATCTTAAGACAAGTAAAGGTATTAATATTAACTTATACGACAATTTTTTGATATTTATTCCAATATAATAAGCAGGTTCATCTAAATTAGAAAATAATGTATTCCAAAACAATTATATAAATCTCTTCGAGGAGTTATCGGTCATCGGTTCGGGAGGTTTTGGAACTGTATTTAAAGTAAAGCATAGATTCGATGAACAAATATATGCCGTCAAAAGAATCGAGTTTCAGAGTAAATATAATATTAAATTTAGACTAATTACATAAATCTCTGAACTATAGTTATTCATTACGAAAATTTCAGATAGTCGATATTATTACATTCTGCACAGAGTATAAGGCCAAAATGTACAGGTTTTGATTAATATCGACTATACAAATTTTCCAGTAAACACTTATCGATGCCGGTTCAGAGATATATATAATATAAATGACATATACACATAATGATATTATACATGCTTTGAAAATAAACTAGATTTTACGGACGATAATATGAACCAAATTCTGATAGAAGTGAAGAATTTAGGAAAAGTTCGTTCAGAATATGTGGTCCAATATTACAACTCATGGCCTGAAAGCAAACACCTCTACATTCAGATGGAGTTCTGTTCACTGAATCTGAGGAATATTATTGAAGTGAAACCACAAATATTTGGGCGTCAATCACAAAAAGCCATGGATATTGTCGAGTATTTCATTTCGTGTGAAATATTCAAAGAACTCTTAGAAAGTGTTCAGTATTTGCATGAATTGAATGTAATATGTTTTGAAATGAAATTATTTTTGGGTTTAAGATCTCATTCCCGGAGTAAAGGCTTTGAAAACTATATTTGAGACAAAATTTTTAAAATTAACTAAAGATCAGAATATGATCAGTATTTGCATGAATTGAATCCACAGATCATTCACAGAGACTTCAAACCAGAAAACATATTAATAGCCGATAATGTAAAGAACGGTAGATTTGTTAAATTGTGTGACTTTGGTTTGGCTACAGTCCACAACACAGAGATTAATTATGTATCATTAGATAAACACTCAACTGGGGTAGGCACAATAAAGTACCAGGCGCCTGAAATAGCTCATGGTAATAAATATGGGCATAAAGTAGACATTTATAGTTTGGCATTAATAGCTGGTGAACTAGTTGAGTTAGATTTGTTTTTTATTGACCCTGATAAGTATGTCTTAATTCATATTCTGATCTTTAGTTAATTTTAAAAATTTTGTCTCAAATATAGTTTTCAAAGCCTTTACTCCGGGAATGAGATCTTAAACCCAAAAATAATTTCATTTCAAAACATATTACACTCAATGATGTCGACCCCCATCTGGAACCGAAGACCCGAATGTTCACACGTTTTGCGTCAATATAATGATTGGGCTATCGATCAGAATATTATTGAGGAATCTAGTGTTAAATTACTAGTGACTCAATTGAAGCAGCATGATCACTTTTTCTGTCACTTTATTCAAAGCAAATTAAATAATTTTAATTGATTTTTATTTTTTATAAGTGCTGTAGTACATATACTATAAATCAAGCATTAACAAAACTTTTAAAATCTTGAAAATAGCGATGTATTAAATCTATAATTTTATTAAAAGTACACAACACTAGTAATATAAACTTTTAATACTAAAATTAGTGACTGAAATTATAAGCTATTATTTTATTAATCACACAAAAATACACATTTAACTATTAATATGCTAAGATTTATTTATATTAAAAACTAATAATTTCTAATATTTAATTCAAAATATCAATGATTAATCAAAATATTCATTAATAAAATAAACAATATTTGTATTAAAGTAAATTACTCATTAAGGATTAAAAATACTAGTGTTATATTAAATGATAAATAATTACTATGCCTTACAACGCTAGCTTGGCTCTGGAGCCATAGTATGTTAATGTATGCTATAAATTATAGTCTATAAAGCAAACCACAATTAATATATTTAATAATAATAAATAATAATTTATCATTAATAAATACAGAAATTTTTAAATATGCTGAATAATAAATTTGCTGTATTTGGTGCTCCCAGGTCATATATAATAATATAAAAGTGAATTTTGTTAATTATTTTAATATTCATAAGAAATTGAATTTCAGATATTATTAGTAATAATTTATTACATAAACTTGAATGCAATGAAAAACAATTTTCTATTAGCTTTCTTGTAAATACTATGTAATAAAACAATAATTTAAACATTTGTCTCGTTATAATATTTTTAAACAATTTAAAAAATTCCCTAGGTTCAACCATGAATCCCTACCCCCATACAAGTGCATACATACTGTACTTTAAGAATTACATCTTATCGCACTTTATTTATCACCCTAAATAACCCTGTACATTTTAGTTACGGATGAACTGAATGATTATTGACATTAATCTCAAATCCTTTTCAAACATATTATGTTAAAAGTAATGCTTAAAACTAATTGTTTTTCTCACTAAAACTGGAATAATAATATATTTATCATTAAATGTACTTTAGTTAATAAAGTACATTAGATAATCAATATAAATACAGTATGTGGTACTTATTTATAATTACAAAATGCAACCATTAAATATACCTGCACATATGAACAATTTTCTTATTTAATAATTTTTAAAATGTATTTTTCATAAAATTTAAACTAATATTATTCTATTATAATATTAGTAAAATCATTACCATGATAATATCATATTGATATTTCTATATCTAATTAATAATTTGATTCAAAATATTTTTAAATAAAAACCTATAAATATTGTATGAATAATTGACAAGGGTAAAATTATTAATTAGATGTAAAAATAGTTACCGTCTATCTGATTCAATAAAGCTAATATATTATTTGTGAATAAACGTTTCAACAATTTATTATAACTTGAGTTTACTGTATCATGATTAGCGTATCCGTTTTTAGTGACTATATAAGCCTGATAATTTATATCTAGAACTAATAGTTTATAAGTTTTATTACACAAAAATAAAATATTAATAAAAATTAAAACTATGTATAAATATTTGGCTATAAGTCTAACTGTTTATATAGCGCTAACTACCGGTGCCGTCACCGGCATCGACGTGAACACCAGCTCCGGGTTAGTGAGGGGACAGACCATCGACGTGCTCGACAAGAAGGTGAACGCATTCATAGGCATCCCATTCGCCGAACCACCGGTCGGTGCCCTGAGGTTCGCCCGACCGAAACCACTCGCGAAACCGATTCCTGTAATTATCGCAAAGTTTTTTTTAAAGTTTTACAAATAATTTAACAAATTATTGTAACCCCAGGGGGTAATAGACGCCACCAAACCTAAAAACTCATGTATGACGGGTGGCAGCGCCCAAATGGGGGAGGACTGTCTGTTTGTGAACGTGTGGGCCCCGCAAAACACGACTAAATTAAAGCCCGTTATGTTTTGGATATACGGCGGGGGTCTGGGAAGTGGATCCATATTTTCCGGGGCTAATGATGGCAAGGCTTTGACTATCGATGACGTGGTGGTGGCGTCCGTTAACTACCGGCTCCGAGCGTTGGGGTTCATGTACGGCGGTCCTGATACTGACTGCCCCGGGAATATGGGTTTTTATGACCAAACATTGGGACTTAAATGGGTTTGAAACTAATTTTTTAATTACCTCTCTCTCTCTCTCTCTCTCTCACACTCACTCACTCACTCACTCACTCACTCACTCATTAATTCATTTAATCTAATCAATATTTAATTTGTGATAAAAAAATATTAAGAAAAATAATTTTCATTTCAACAACAGGTGAGAGAAAACATCCATTTGTTTGGCGGAGATAAGGATCAGATCACGATATTCGGTGAGAGCGCCGGCAGTTGGTCCGTATCGGCGCTGGTATTATCGCCGCTAACCAAAGGCCTCTTCAAACGAGCTATACTACAGTCGGGCGCCGACTATCACGACCAGAAGGCCGGCGGTCTCGTGACGGCCGCTCGCACTCTACAGGACAGCAAAAATATGGCCAAACATTTCAATTGCACGGATCAACACAATTGGGTCGACTGTCTGAGGAAAGTGGACGCCAAAGACATCACTAACTGGCCCTTCCCAGACCTCTTTCCATTGGACGGCACGGAGTTTCTGCCCCTTCCCGCACAACAGGCATTCAAACAGCTTAAGTATAATACCGGTGCGTATTTTCATTTTTAAATACAGTATACTATTTATAGCTAGTAATACATGGGTGATCTCTGATTGAGGTACAGGGTTACCAATCAATAAAGCTCCTATATACATACCTTACTTATTATAATCACTTTGTTTAATTATATTATTTTATATGACTTCCCAGATGTGGACATAATAGCCGGTTGTAATCACGACGAGGGCTCCAACTTAGCCCCTAAATACTCGGGTAATTACACGGAACAGGTGTTCACCGAAATGGTAGAGAAGGCCGACAAAACATTTCACGGATTAGACATTCAGAAAGTGAAAGACTTTTATCTGAAAAGTGTCAACAAAACTGATCCGAAAGCCATTGAGTGGGCGTTTAAGCAGTTTTACGGCGATGTGTTCATGAAGTGTCCGACCTATCTGTTTGCCAAACAGTTGAGCCAACAGTCTGTCCACCGGAATGTCTACTTCTATGAGTTGACGTACCAGACCACTGGTAATACCTGTCAGGGTGTGTGTCACGGCTCGGAACTGTATTACGTGTTCGGCCGACCAGTTGTGGGCAAAGGGGATAAACTGGACGTGGATTTCAGCCGCGAGGTTATGACTTATTGGACTAACTTTGCTAAAACCGGGTTTGTATTAATCACTGACTTATTGTTTTTGGTTTAATGCTAAAAATATTTTGTTTAGACAAGTTTTTATATTAATATTTTATAAAATGTATGTTTTATTACAGAATTCCCACGACTGACATAAAATGGCCTCAATTTAATGATAAGACTCTAATCGTAAAGGACTTGAATCCCCACGACTTCACCAAAACACTTGTCGACCCCTTTAAGACTGTTTGCGAGGAGTTTTGGAAACAATATTTTGAATGATTTTATTTTATTATCTATGTATCATTACAATATAATAATAGTACATTATAGATACACAATTTTTTTGATGGAAAATAATATACTGTAATCATAAGTCAATTATAAGCTCACAAGTTTAACTTGGACATAAAATTTTTTAGCTTGTTTGTTAGTATGGTGTTTCAATAAATGTATTTCCAGTGGAGGTTTACAGTGTAAAGTTTACACTGAAATGTATAGACTGTTTGTGTCCAATAAGAGTTGTTTTTACTTTAAAAGTTTTGCCACAATTTTCTTCATAACATTTGAATTTCCTTTCATTTAAATGAACACCACTTTTGTGTCGAAGTAATGAGTGTTTTGTTTTAAACTGTTTGTGACATTCACTCCAATCGCATACATATCTCACGTTTAAATGATAAATATTTTTATGTCTTCTTAAAAGACCATTACTTATAAAAGATTTATTACAATTATGAAAATCACACTTAAACTGTTTCATATTTAAATGTACTAATTTATGTATATGTAAATCATTTCTTTTTATGGTCTCGTATTGACATTTAGGCCAAAAACAGCGGAAATAGTGATAAGTGTTGAGTGTATTAATGGTGTTGTGATTGGAAA